TCATCGGGGTCGCAGGGCGGTGCGTCGAGGACCTATTCGCACAAATCTACAAACACAGCTCCAAGGCAACCCCTCCACAGCCTCCAATGGAATCAACTTACGAATCCCTTCCACTCGCCTCTTCAAAAGCAGTGAAAGGTATTCCAACAGAATCGTTTAAAGTTTGCTGAGCTTGTTTAGTCACATTTAAAAGGCACTATAATAAGACATTAAGAAGAGGCACGATACTAAGATGTGGCGCTGAATTGTGGTCGATTTTTATGCCTTGCAACTGCTTCTGCATGTCAACAGTAGCCCTATGAGCGTGGGCTCAATGTCAAGGTTGCTGGAGTACTTTACTTCGGACATACACTGTGTGAGCGAGGTTTTCCTTACACAGAGGATCGACATATTGCTAATGCACATGCGAGGGAAAAGGGATATCGTATCTAGAATAAGCCAGAGGTGAGGCATGCGATGCTTGGCATCCAGGAAAAAAGGATTATTTATTTTAGAATACGATGCTGAAACCGGAGGGTTCTTGTACAGCCGAAAGTCAGGACCTTTCACAAGCGCTAGTTTTGTATAAGCGAGCACAACCAAGGGCGGAACGCGAAAGCAGGTTCCATTTCGTCTACCAACCTAGTACTTTGCGTGAAGTTAATGTTGGCTCATGATTGGCTCCGTTAGTCCAATTGTAGGCTCTGTACGACTGGCGACAATTTATCTGTCGACACGAATTATGTTGAGAAATGCTTATGACTCGTCTTTGGGTAAGAATATGTGTTGGGAGGTGGAAGCGAATGTCATGTGACTAAACCAGGCCGTGCAGTGAGGACTAGTAATGGGTCAATGATTCTCCCTTATATCATCGGAGCGTTATCCGAGTATTTTCCTAAAGCTTTCGCTTTTATAATTAATAAGGAGATCCAGAACTCTTCAAGGGGACGAATAAAACCAGTGCCCTTTCGAAACTTCAAGCTAGTCGGCATCCCTTCATTTCGTTTTTTTTCTATTCTATTTCTCTGAACAACCCTCTCCTTCTGTTATCACGGATGCAACTGTCATATGAGTCTCACTTTGAGCAAGAAGCTCGACCTAAGCAAGCTGATCCACAATGCAAAATTTGGCACAAATTAAATCAATTGACTATTGTATCACATGACAGCTTATACTAATTGTTATGGTCTGAATTAAAGTTTGTTGATTAAGCCTAAGAGAGCTTCATTATCCCAATTATATTGTAGATATTAAGCAAGTGGAACGCGGATGGGTTTCTTTATTTTTGCTTGTTTAAACTTTATCAGACTCCTATGATCAATTTATTTCAACTAGTCCTTAATATTTCACATTCCCTGCTATATAGCTGAATTTACCTAATCATAAACTTAATATTTAATTATTTCGCGCTTTCCTAGCATCAGGCCGATGAAAATGTTGTCACATCGTTGTAGAAATAATCATTTATCTATTAACGCTCTTGACAGGAAAGGCCACTGTTGATGATGGAGTAAGTTTAATTTCATTAGAGTCAAGTGGAAGGGATTCATAATTTGGTCTAACCAGAATTCGAATGAGAATTGCCTTGGAGCTATGACCAGATTTTTGCAAATAAATCTTTGGCCTACCGTCTCGCGACCTCGATGAATCCTTTCTGAGCCTCTGACCTTCATTTGGCAGACATTGCCATAGCAGACGGACACCACGATTAACGACAATTCACCAGAACTCGAAGGCAAAAAAGGTTGCAGGGCGATGCGCCGAGGACCAAATTACCAATCCCTCCCACCTGTCTCTTCAAACGAAACGAAAGGTACTCCATCATCAATCCATTGAGAGATTATTCCAAACCCACTTTCTCTACATTCTGTACCTAATCTTTGCTGTTATTTGCCTGTTCAGGAAGTGAAGCGCATGACCAATGAGCCCGATGGATTTAACAAAAGCCCATGCCCCAACTCTTCGAATGAGAGATATCATCACTGCCGCAGGTTCGAATATTATACTGCTGCAGATACGAGCCACAGCAATGAGTCCGCTGATTCGGATCCTTCAGATGGTTCCAGAAAAAGCGCAATACCAAACCTCCTTAGTTCCATTAGTGTCCGTATGTCCACTAATACAGAAGCCTGTAATTTTTCTAAGAGCACTCCTCTGATCGATGCATTTAGTCATCTGAAGCTCTATCCCAATATAGCCTTTGACTCTAAAGCAACTCTTTCAGGCCTCAATGAAGGAGAAAGGGAAGAAGCCAAATAACCTGGAAAATATAACTTATCGTAACATTTTCACTGCATCGGTTCCCAGGCAGGTGCAGATACATTCTCAACGACTTATGTACAGTCTAGGTTTTTGAATGCATTTTCGATGTAAATAA